AAGAAAACTCCAGAAATTAGAAGGTTTAGAGGGAAAGCAGATTCAGGACCTCCTTCAGATGGCCCAGCGAGTTTATAATAATAGGGATACTCCAGAAGAAAAACAGTTCAAGGCAACCAAAGAAATGACCAAAGTCTTAGTAGCAGCTTTCCCCCAGGCAGGGAATGACCAAAGCAGAAAGCAGAAAAAGCAAGGCTCTAGGCAAGGATTAGAAAAGGATCAGTGTGCTTATTGCAAGGAACGTGGTCACTGGATTAAAGACTGCCCAAAGAAACGGGGACCAGCTAACCCTACCTCCGTACTCGTAACCCAGGACTCTGACTAGGGAGGACGGGGTTCGGACCCCCTCCCCGAACCCAGGGTAACTTTGCAAGTGGAGGGGTCCCCAGTTCGCTTCTTGGTCGATACTGGGGCGGAACGCTCAGTCCTAACCAAACCAATTGGAAAAATGTCTAAGAAAAACATCCTGGGTGCACGGGACCACAGGCATCAAAAAATACCCCTGGACAACCCAGAGGACTGTAGACTTAGGAACGGGAAAAGTCTCCCATTCCTTCCTAGTCATCCCAGAGAGCCCCTGCCCTCTACTAGGGAGGGACTTGCTAACACTGACTTGTGAGGGTGAAGTGGTAACCAAGCTTGAGGCAACAATTCAAAACTGGAGACACCAGCCTTTGTAACCAGAAGGCAACTGTTTTTCTGAAACTTCAGAAATATTTAAGCTGGGAAGGGTGAAATTTGTCTTTAAAAAGGAATATTCAAAAACTTTCTGATCATATTAAGACAGAATATAGGCAGAGTAACATTGTAGTGCTGTTGGTATACGTTTTTAAACCAAATTTATTTATCTTCCTTGCTTACTGACTCCTGCCCCAAAGAAGGATATTACATGGAAACAGTCTTTATACTAATCTATGTTATGGCTTTGCGTTCCTATTTTTTTTGGTCTGAGTAAGATATTAGGGCTCGTGCTTACAAAAGCAAATGAAAGGATCAAATAACATGATTAATACATTTTATTACAAAGCTTTTAGAAGATGAGGGGCAGAGCTAACAAATTACCTTAATCATTAAAAACCACAAAGTTGGAGAATTTTTTTAAAAAGAGTGGATACCAAAATAGCTTTTAGGAAGATGACAGCTTAATAGTCTCTTAAGTTGTTGAAGACAGCAAAAGAAGGCTTAAGATCTGGAGGATAAAAGTTATATTCAAAAACATGCTAAAGAATACATTAAAACAAACAAAGAACGAGGAAAAAATAAATTGTGCCTTAGAAGTTAAATCCTGTCATAAATGAACATAATTTCTGAAGGACTATGGCCCACTTCAACACTCAAACAAAAAAAACCTCATTGCTAAAACAGCTTCAACATTCCTTTGGAGTTTGCTGTAAAGAATTTATCCTGCATATAGGGTAGACATGAAACACATCTTGAAGAGACTCAGAATATCTGCAAACATAAAACTGCTTCTCTAAACGGCATTTACTGGCCTTGAATCCAGTAGAGTAGGGTTCAGCTATGACATGAAATGTGTCATCCTGGGGACGGGGGAGCAATTTGAAGAAAAAGGGCACTTTGCTATAGTTAATTCATGTGGCTGTAATAGTCTACAAGTTTCTCCTCAATGCCAAATATCTATTAAGAATTTAAAAATGCAGATGAAACTTTCTATTTCCAAGAATTCATGTGATAAAGGGTAATCATCACAGAGTTTACATATGCTCAGTTTTCTTAAAGCCATAGATTTTATTCCAGAAAGGAGAAAGTACACGGCATCAATAAACCACACATGCCATGAATTTTAGAACACTAAATTATTTTTCTCTGGCTTATCAACCAGTTATATCCATGGGCTGCAAATTATACCCACAACAAAATTGATAACATTTTGCAACATGTCAAAGAAAGACCAACATTTTTGCCTGAGTATCCCACTAACCTTTATCTAGAGTTATTATTCTTGGACTTTCTACAGAAGTTTCTTTTCAAATAATTTATGAATTACAACAACTGGAAAGAATACTGTGAGGACCTGAATACTTCAATCAAACACTGAAGGCAACAATCTTTCTCTTTAAACCATCTCTCCTACCTGAATTTTTATATACTAAAATAACCCCACTCCTTCATTTCTGCACGAGTAGCCAGATAAGGTGGCATTCCTTGGCCATCACAAGTCCCAGGTCAAAACATCTCCGTTCTTCAATGTTCTAGCAAAGGCTTCTGGCCCTGCAGCTCATGCCTGTGTGATTCAATCTTGTTCTCAATGAGAGAGATCTCTAGCACAGGTAAGAGTAGCTGAAAGGCGTCCTGGATGTAGGAGGCACTGTTTGATGCCTGCAAGGATTGAAAAAACAAAAAAGAGAAAACATTAGTTATTTAAAAGAGAAGATATACTGTAAGACAACAAGGGGAACAGATTAATTTTTGTAATCTAACTGAATTCATAGCCTGGCAAATAAGAGCAGTGACTTGGCCATTTTGGTAAACTCTATTATAGGGAAAAGGATCCAGCTCTTAAGATGATATGACAGCAAAACAGAATGTCAGCATTTTTGTCCAACTTGCCCATCAGAAATGGTAGCTGTTCTTTGGCAACCTGCTCAGACTTGGCATTCAAAGCTTATTTATTCCTTTATTAAGTGGGGTAGATTATGTCACAATATTGTGGTCAATTACTGAAAGAGGCTTTCAGAAGGCTATAAATCCTACACCTATAGAATTTCTAGCCCATTATGATAGCTCTTCTTCCATGAACTCAATGCAATCAGTGAGCACAATAACTGCTCACACACATAAACAAATAATATTACTTTCAAAGATGACAGTGTAGATATATTTCTACCTTGAACAACAATTTTCAGAAGTGTTAGAGAATCATTACCCTCAGTTTGCTGAGGGTAATTCATTTATACTGAAAAGCCCTCACCTTTCAAAAGAATATCAACAGAGACTTCATTACATTAAGACAAAATGTATAATTTCAAAGACAAGAGTGTTTCAAATCTGTATGCAAAAAAAAATCAACTAAAAATAATAGAGAGCCCATATCAAGTGAGATTACCTTTTTAAAATTTATCAGTGGCAAGTACTCCTATTTAAAATTCAGTGTGACATTTAATACTCAATTTCCTACACACAAGAGACTTCAGATATCATCAAGTTAAATCTCTTATGTTGCGCATGAAAATAACGAAGTTTGTCAGAGTCACACAACAAATCAAGGAAGATCCAGAGCAACACTGGGCTCCTGGTTTACAAAGTCCTTTCTTCTGCCATTTACTAAATCACAAACTTATATTTTTAAAAGTTATTTAAGTGATCAAAATAGCTTCCCTGACTACTCAATTAAAACTGTGTAATTAAAGAATTAAAATCATTTCCTTGATGGTAATGTCAAAAGAATTTAAAACTAGAGAAGAGTTTGGTAGTTAAAACATTTTTTTCAATTAACATCTAAAACTTAACTATCAAATATATACTTTCCCCCCAGACTTACATAAACATGTTTTTAAAAAATCATCAAAAAGTCTATGTTGTTTGCACAGTTAATTTCAAGGTAGACTTCTTAAAACATGGAATCCAGAAAACATCACATAAGGAGGTAATATAATCAGTCACAGGATCCTCTTTTCCACTGACTTAAACCACCTACTTTCTCAAATCTAATGGAATGATGAGGACAATGTAAACACTACCTTTCTGACAAAACAAAGCATGATTTCCTAGCAAGGAAATGACAAAATGTTTTGTTTTATAACAAACCGCTGCATGAACTTTAGTCCTTTAGGAAGCAGCGCTTACCTGTTTGTAATTTTCAGCCCTTCATGTTTACCAGCTGGTATTCAGAAGGTGTTTCATTACTGTGAACTGTCTATTAAGCTATCAAGGATTAGTACTAAGTAATGATAATCTACTGCTTCTTCCATTGTACTTTACCCTGCAGCTTCAACTGTATGCTTTGTAATTAATAAGGAAGGAATACATATCAAATGTACACTATTTTGGTCATGTCTACATCAATATGGTTAAATTACCAATATGGTGAAAAAAATAAAAAAGCCAAAAACAAAAGGCTTCAGAAGAGTTAATTAGTACATAATACCTTTGGAGTCAGAGACTTAAACAATTACTACTAACCTCTAGAAATACTGCAGTGATTAATGGGTTAAGGACATCTGCCATTTCTTTGACCTGGAATAAAGAATACATTTTTAAGTGAGCAGAGTAGGTTAAGTAACAGTAAGTGGAGTACGATCACACTTTAAAACACACACACACACACACACACACGTACATAAATATTAAATATAAGCATAGAAGTCTGGACTGAAAGCAAAATGTCATCTTCAGGAAGCGAAATTGTAAGTGTTTTAAACTTCCTTCTTATCTTTCTGTGCTATCCATATTGAGAGTGTATTGTTTTATACCTTTTTATTGACTTTAAAAAGTATCATTTTTAATGATACTTTAAAAATGATACTACAAAATCTTAGAACCATTTTAAAACAAAATATGTAGATATGGAACATGTGCTCAAAAAACTCAAGGGTCTTTAACACAGGCTGTTTAGAAAAGTCTTATAAATAAATAATGTAATTTAACACTTGTATGTGTCAGCATCTTATAGTTGATACGCTAGCTTAAAGTATCCTTATGGAACACAGAGAAAGATTTGGCCTTATAAGATTAACTTCAGGAAACCCAGATCCTCTTGTCAAGAAAATACTACAGGGAAAAGTGAAGCTGTACCAAAAGATTATCCTTTACAGGAATAATCTAAACTCAAATTTTAAAAAATTAACTTAGGCCATGGTCTTAATTAAAACAAATGTAATGTTCATGACTAGAGCTTTTAAATAAACAAATACATAAATAAATAAAATTTAAGAGCCCACAGTAATTTTGCTGCTACACTGACACTGATATACTTACTATAAAGTGATTTTCATTTGCTTGTTTAAAATGCCCTTGATTTTATCCTAACTCATTATTACTGGTTTCTCAATCATCGTCCATAACTCACACATCTTCATAAATTTTTACAATTCTAATTTTGAAAATCCCCAAAGACTTTAGCTTTAACCACATCTTTCCCACTGACTGGCAACTGCATACCGTAAGCACTGCCATAGTCTAAGTACAGAGTTGCTCTTTAAAACCAGAGTCAAAATCTGAAGTTTGAATTTTATCAAGGTCTATATGTCCATTACAGGTCTCAGAAGATAGCATAAAAAACACTGAAAACTTCATAAACAGAAATGAACAAAAATTAATTAGAATTAGACATAGACAAGCTGATCCTAAAATTCAGATGGAAATGCACAAGGCCCCAAGTAGTCAAAAAATCTTGAAAATAAAAATAAAGTTGGAGGACTTACACTTCTTGATTCCAAACCTACTACAAAACTACAGTAATCAAGACAATATGATACTGGCATTAGGATAAACATACAGATTAATGGACTAAAAATCAGAGTCCAGAAATAAACCCATATATCTATGCCTAACTGATTTTCAACAAAGGAGCCAAGACAATTTAATGGAGGAAAGAACAGTCTTTTCAACACATAGTACTGGAACAAATGGATATCCATATGCAAAAGCATGAAGTAGGGCCCCCTACCTCACACCATACACAAAAATTAACTGAAAATGGATCACAGACATAAATGTAAGGGCTACAACAAAACTTTTAGAAGATTAGAGGAGTAAAACTTCACTGCAAAGGACACGGTCAAAAAAGTGAAATGACAACTCATGGACTTGGAGAAATACATTCTCATCAAAAATCTGATAAGAAATGTGTATTGGGAAAACATTAAAAAAAAAAAAACTCCTACAAGTAATAATAAAAACACAAACAACCCAAGTTTTAAAACAAGCAAAGTGCTGAAATAGATATTTCTCCAAAGAAGTCAAACAAACAGCCAATCAGCACATTAAAAGATGTTCAACACTGGCCGGGCACGGTGGCTCATGCCTGTAAACCCAGCACTTTGGGAGGCCAAGGCGGGTGGATCACCTGAGGTCGGGAGTTCGAGACCAGCTTGGCCAACATGGTGAAACCCCATCTACCAAAAATACAAAAGTTGGCTGGGCATGGTGACGTGTGCCTGTAATCCCAGCCACTTGGGAGTCAGAGTTAGGAAAATCACTTGGACCAAGAGGTGGAGGTTGCAGTGAGCTGAGATCATGCCATTGCACTCTAGCCTGGGCGACAAGAGCAAAATTCCGCCTCAAAAAAAAAAAAAAAAAAAAAAAAAAAAAAAAAAAAATGTTCAACATCTTTAGCCATTAGAGAAATGTAAATCAAAACCACAATGAGATATCATTTCATACCCACTAGGATGGCTAAAATAAAAACAAACACCAATAAGTATTAGCAAGGATATGGAGAAACTGGAACCCTTATACATTGCTAGTGAGAATGCAAAATTGTGCAGCCACTTTGGAAAACAGTTTGGTAATTCCTTAACGACCATATCGCCCATATGACCCAGCAATTCCACTCCTAGCTATCTACCCTAGAGAAATGAAAACATATTGACATAAAAACATACATGCATGTTCACAGCAACATTATTCATTATAGCCAAAAAGCAGAAATAATCCAAATGTCTATCAACTGATGAACAAATTAAATGTGATATATATCCATAAGATAGATTATTATTTGGTAATAAAAAGGAAGCATTAATACATGCTACAATGTGGATAAGCCTCAAAAACACTATGCTAAGTGAGTGAAACCAAACACAAAATACCACATATTGTTTAATCCCATTTATGTGAAAGATGCAAAGCAACCAAATCTATAGAAAGAGAAAGCAGATTCATGGTGCTTAGGGCTGGGAAAATATGTAGTGAAAGGGAATGGGGATTGTACGAGTTTTGGGGAAGGCTGATGAAAGTGTTTTAAAATTAGACTATGGAAATGGCTGCACAACTCTGTAAATATACTAAAAACTTAAAACTAGTGAATTGTACACTTAAAGTGAGCAAATTTTATGATATTTAAACTGCTAAAGAAACCAGACAAACATTATTGCAATAAGAGGCATGAATTCTTACCCCAGCAGTTGTTAGGCAGGTGGTGAACTCTTTAGACAAAGAGGACAACTCTTTACACAACACAATTGTCATCCTACGAAAGAAAGGAAAAGTCAGAAACGTTTTCTCTTTTTTTATTTTCTTAATAAGCTATATTTAACAACTGTCAGAACAGAACAAATCACTCCTGGTACTAAATGTGAAAGAAGAAAGCTTTTCAAGGGAGTAGTAGCCCCCCTTATCAGTGGTTTCACCTTCTGCAGTTTCAGTTACTCATGGTCAACAATGATCTGAAAATAATTTCAAAAAAATTCCAGAAATAAATAATTCATAAGTTTTTAATTGCACATCGTTTTGAGTAGTGTGATGAAATCTCTCATTGTCTGCTCCATCCCACCCAGGACATGAATCATCCCTTTGTCCAGCATATCCACAGAACCCATTCATGAGTCAGCTATTAATAGTAGCCATCTCGGTTATCAGACTGAGCGCTGTGTTATCACAGTGCCTATGTTCAAGTAACCTTTATTTTACTTAATAATGGCCCCTGCTATGGTTTTGATATGTCCCCTCCAAAACTCATGTTGAAATTTTATTCCCGACATGGCAGTATTAGGAGGTGGGACCGAGTGGGAGCTGTTTGGATAATGGGGCACTGCCCTCATGAACAGATTAATGAAATTATCACAGTCGTGAGTTCTCACTCTGATGGGAATAAATTAGGTCCCAGAGAGCATGTAGTTATAAAGCAAGTCCAGTCTCTCATGCAGATCTCTTTGCACATACCCACTCATCTTCCTGCTTTTTTACCATGTTGTGGAGCGGTATACGGCCCTCACCAGAAGTCAAGCAGATGCCAGTGCTATGCTCTTGGACTTTCCAGCCACCAGAATCATGAGCCAAATAAGGCTCTTTTCTTTGTAAATTATCTACCCTCAGATATTCTGTTACAGTAACACTAAATGGGCTAAGGCAGCCCCAAAGCCCAAGAGTTGTGATGCTGGCAATTCAGACATGCCAAAGAGAAGCCATAAAGTGCTTCCTTGAAGTGAAAAGGTGAGAGGTCCTCACTTTGTAAGAAAAAAGAAAATTATATGCTGAGGCAGCTAATCTACAATAAGAATGAATCTTCTACCCATAAAACTGTGAGAAGGAGAAAGAAATCATGCTACTTTTGCTGTTGCACCACTAACTGCAAAAGTTCTAGTCACAGTGGGTGATATGTACTGAGTAAGATGAAAAAAGCAAACTACTCATCTGACAGGGGACTAATATCCAGAATATACAAAGAACTCAACAGTAAAAGTAAAAAAAACTCATTAAAAAATAGGCAAAGGACATGAAGAGACATTGCTCAAAAGAAGACATACAAATGACCAACGGATACATGAAAAAATGCTCAATATCACTGATGTATCAATAATCAAGAAAATGCAAATCAAGACCACAGTGAGCTATCATATCACCCCAGTTAGAATGGCTATCATTATTAAAAAGACAAAAAAATGGCTGGGCATGGTGGCTCATGCCTATAATCCCAGCACTTTGGGAGGTCAAGGCAGGTGGACCACTTGAGGTCAGGAGTTTGAGACAAGCCTGGCCAACATGGTGAAACTCCATCTCTACTAAAATACAAAAATTAGCTGGGCGTGGTGGAGCGCACTTGTAATCCCAGCTTCTCAGGAGGCTAAGGCAGGAGAATCACTTGAACATGGGAGGCAGAGGTTGCAGTGAACCAAGATTGTGCCACTGCACTCCAGCCTGAGTGACGCAAGCAAGACTCCATCTCAAAAAAAAAAGACAAAAAAAAATAGATGCTGGCAACAATTCCAAGAAAAGAGAATTCCTATATGTTGTTAGAACGTAAATTAGTACAACCACTATGAAAAACAGTATGAAGATTTCTCAAAAAATAAAGTGGAACTACCAAACTACTGGGTATTTAGCCAAAGGAAAATAAATAAGTATATATATCAAAGGGATACCTGCACCTGCATGTTTATTGCAGCACTATTCACAAAAGCAAAGATATGGAATTAACCTGTTAGTTGACAAATGGATAAAGAAAATGTGGTGCGTGTGTGTGTATATATATACATATACACACACACATAATGGAATACTATTCAGCTATTAAAGAAAATGTCATTTGCAGCAACACAGATAGAACCACAGGTCATGAGGTTAAGTGAAATAAGCCAAGCACAGAAAGACAAACACCTCATGTTCTCACTCATATGTGGGAGCTAGAAAAACATGATCTTATGGAAACAGAGAATAGAATAACTGTGATACCAGAAATGGGGAAAGGTGGGTGGGTGAGTGGGTGGAGATGAAGACAAGTTAGTTAATGAGTACAAACATACAGTTAGATAGAAAAAATAAATTCTAATGTTTGATAGCAGAATAGGGTGACTTATATTTAGCAATAATATTTTGTATATTTCAAAGTAATGTAGACACTTGAAATCATACCAACATATAGACATGATAAACACTCAAGGTGATGAATATCCCAAATACTCTGACTTGATCATTATACATTCTATGCATGTAACACTCACATGTACCCCATATA